CTGTTTCTGAAAGTGGACAGTCTTTGGGAAGAAGTCTGCTGTTTCACATGGCTGAATCCCTTTAAGGGCGAGCACCGGTAGATGGGTACAGAGGGTGATGGGACTGTGGCTAGAAGGCTTGTGCGTGTTTATATGAAAAACGTCAACAAACTTGAAAAACCAAAACAAACAAACAAACAAACAAAAAAACCCAGAAACTATTTGCTCTCAAATTCTTTTTTTTTTCTTATTTTATTTTTAAAAGAAAACAATCTTTTTTATTTTACATATTCATCTGGTGTTCCCATTCTCTCTCCTCCTTCTATCCCCCCCCTTCCCTCCCAAGTCACCCCCTCATTCGCTCTCCAGAGGGGGCAAGGCACATTGCTCTGAAGAAGGACCAAGGCCCTTCCCACTATATTCAGACTGAGCAAGTTATCCATCCAAAGAGAATGGGTTCCAAAAAGTCAATACAAGTAGCAGGGACAAATCCTGGTGCCACCGCCCTGCAGTCTGTCCCAGCCATACAACTGTCACCCACACTCAGAGGGTCTAGCTTGGTCCTATGCTGGCCAGAGTTGGTGAGTTCCCATTAGTTCAGGTAGACTGTTTCAGTGGGTGTCCACATCATGGTCTTGACCTCTTTGCTCATATTCTCACTCTTCCCATTCTTCAACTGGACGTTGGGAGCTTGGTGTGGTGGCACACACCTTTAATCTGTTGCTAAATGTCATTTTCTGATCAAAGGAATCTAGAAAAGCAGACTTCTAGAGCCAGATGTGAGTGGACTAGAGCATTGGTTCTCAACCTTCCTAATGCCGTGACCCTTGAATATAGCTCCTCATGTTGTGTGACCCCAGCCATAAAATTATTTTTGTTGCTACTTCATAACTGCAGTTTTGCTACTGAGCAGTGTCCGTTCTTAAGACCATTGGAAATGTGTTTTCTTACGGTCGAGATCCACAGGTTGAGAGCCTCTGTACTAGATGAACCTGGCAAAATGTCTTCATTTCTTGATACTGTAATATAATGCCTGTCAAATGCAACTTAAGGTTAGAAGGAGGAAAGGGTTTACATGGGCTCAAGTCCAAGGGTGTAGTCATGGTGGCAGGATACTGAGCATACTAGTCACCTTACCTCTGCACTTGGAAAGTAGAGATGCTGAATGCTAGCGTTTGCTTGCCTTCTCCTTATTCAGCCCAAAGCCCCACCCGTAGGAAGGTAAGCCTGCCTGGAATAGACCTTAGCACCACTGACTCCATGATGGGAGTACCATTTGGGCCATAAATCTCAAATGTAGACAGTATTACTTGCCAAAGTGAGAACAAAGTCCTAGTCCTTCAAAGTCCACCATTCTGGGAAAGTCTCTAATGTACTAATTATGCCTGTGGCTTCTGTAGCTCTGCTTCCAGCAGACTGTTCCTTGTTGACAGAAATCTGTCAACCCAGGACATGGTTTTTGTGCTTAAGCTCACCCTGAGAAAGATGTGGGCCTGTACTAGGATCCTGAACAGCCATGTAATTAGGCCACTTAGCTGGGCTGGCTAATTAAGACTTTCTATTGGCTTAAACCCCTGCCTCCGTAGTCTTCTCTCGTGAACTCCCCAGAAGGCTTCCCATCTGAATGACGCTAGTCTAGATAAGCCCTCACACACACACACACACACACACACACACACACACACACACACGAACAGTCTTGTCTCCTAGGCGATTCCAGATCCTGCTGTGTTGACCGTGAATCCTGTGATCACAAACACCTTGTAAGCAGAGAGCACGGACGTCTGCAAAGGTGAGTTCATGTCAAGGGGAAGCAGGAGCCACTTGAAAATGCTCTCGAACGATAACGCTCAGACAAGCTGCACAGTGAAATAAATAACAGTACCAGATTACAAAACAAAGTGTAAATCGAACATCCATGAATCAACTCTGATATAAACAAATGACTGGATAAAGAGGTGGAGAACAAAACCCCCAAACGGAAGAATTCTAAGCGACTTTTATAGGATATTCCTCTTGAGTATGGCTCTGATTAGTGACCTCCTTCCCTCCCTCCTTTCTCTCCTCCCTTCCTCCCTTCTTTCCTTTTCTCCTTCCCTTCTTTCCTGTGCAATAAGATAGGGGAGAGAAAGAAAGTAACCATTCAACAGAGAAACTGAGTAATAACCCCTCAGCCACGTGCTCAAGTTCAAAAGCATTAGAGATCAGTCTTGTTGGCAGTGTTCTCTCTAGATATATTTAATTTTATAATAAAAGGATGAAGACAGCCCTTTATCTCTGGTATTCCTCCCTAAGACGCTGGTCTGAAATACATCAGACAATCTCCAACTGAAAAGCAACTTTCTAATACTTTTCAAGTCAATATATTAAGTCTTAAGGAGATTGGAAGTAAAAGCCCATAATATAATGAATACTTGGTTCTCTGTGCAGGCACCCACAAAGAAGACTTGAAGGGCAGGAGATGGTCAAGTGAGTGAAAGCGGCCAAGAAATATAGGTTGGTTCCTGGGCCTCCTGCTGTGAAAAACCCCCGAGACACTTCTCAAGCAAAAAGGATTATAAAAGATTCTTTTGGAAAATTTTTGTTAGAGGGGCTCAGAGTTCAAAAGCTCACAGAGGCAACCACTGTAGTAGCTCACGCCTTCAATCCCAGCACTTGGGAGGCAGAGGCCAGTGGATCTCTGTGAGTTCGAGGCCAACATGGTCTACAAGAGCTAGTTCCAGGTACACAAAGAAATCCTGTCTCAAAAAATAAAACAAAACATACAAACAGAAAAAGAAAAAAGAAAGAAAAGAAAAGAAAGCCCGCAAAGGACCTGAGTTAGGTTCCCAGCTACCTCCATCATGAAGCTCACAAGCACCAATCTGTCCAGCTCCAGGGGATCAGAGATCCTCTTCTGGACTCTGTGGGTACCCACATGCACACATGCACACCCCCAACACCTAACTAAAAACAAAATCACTCTTAAACCAGAAAGAAAGTTCTCATTAGATTCTATCTATAATCAGGCCAGCAAAACGGCTTAGTAAGTGAAGGAGCTCACTGCCAAGCCTGAGGCCCTGGGTTTGATCCCTGAGACCCACACGATGGAAGGAGCAAACTGGCTCTTGAAAGTGGTCCTCTGACTTCCACCAATAGGCCATGGCATACAAGTGTTCACAGCACACACACAGTAATATTTAAAGGAAAGAATATCTATATGCATATAAACAAAGGCAATACGAGCTGTGACAGTAATAGCAATAAGTTCTGAAGATGGGCATTGAGAGGTTTGTGTCTGAAATAGTCCCCACCAGGCACATGTTTAAAAGTCTGGTCCCCAGTTGATGGCAGAATTTGGCAAATTATGAAACTTTGGGAGGTGAGGTCAGGCTGCTACAGTGGGGTATGCCGTTATGGCCCATCCCTGTTCCCAGTTCTGTTCTCTGCAAACATGAAAAAGCCTCTGCCATGGGCTCCCTCTGCCATTCAGCTCCTGCACCATGCCTTTCCTGCCTTGATGACCTAACACTCTCTGGAACTGTGAGCCTACATTCACCTCTACCCGAAGGCTCTTTCTGACAGGTGTTTTGTCAGAGCAGTGGGAAACATAACCAATACAGACAAATGGGTTGGTTTTATTTTCTTCCCACGTATCAGCTTTCTAGTTCTTGTGCCAGGAATCTGTACCATTTTGCAAATCAAACACAATTTATGCCAGTGTAGTGTTTGCGAGACCAGTCCGCAGAATTCTTCTTGTAGAGGCAGAAGTGAATTCCCAGTGCTAATCCAGGCTTCCTTCTAGTGGTCTGCTCAACACTGCAGGAGTCATGGCCCTTTGCTGTTGGGGCTCTAGGTGCATCTTAGATTCTTCCAGTGATGAACCTGCTTGAGAAGGAGGCCACGGTTCACACCTGGCTCTGCCGGTTCCCACAGGAGCCCAGTAGGAAGGAATGTAGGGGCAGAAGCCAGTGTTTACCTCTAACACGGAGCTGAGAAGAAGTCCGGAGGCTCACTCTGGAATTGCATCTCTAGCAGAAAGTTCTTGAAGCCAGCATTGGTGGCGGTCTTGGAGACCTCCTACCTCCCTGCCTTCCTGGAGCCTTGGGGGCTGCAGTCCCATGGGCAAGTCTGGTCTGTAGCACTGAGCACTGTTTGGAGACCATATGAGCTCTTTCCCAGGCTGTTTCATAACTGCCGAAATCATCTTTTGCCTAAACTAACTGGTCGTTTGTTTCCTCAGACACACCCTGACTCACATAAGGGTTCCCGGCGACAGGGAGACGGACCTGTGCTGAGGGAAAGCGTACGTTATGACGAGCGGAGGAAATTCTTCGGGGCTAGCAATAGTTCGAGTGTCTTGAAATCCACGAACTGCGGACGCAAGGGAGAAACAACCAGCACAGCTCTGCCAAGCACACGGCCAAGATCTCAAAGACAGCATCAGGCATGTACAGACTTCCTATCTCTCGCTAAGATAGGCGGATGCAATGCAGCTTCAAAGGTTTTCTAAAGTGGATCCAATTCTCCCTCTGGACCTTGCCTCAGTGGGATGAGGTGGGGGCTTGGGAGGAGCAGGCTTGTTGAATTAAACGTGCCTCTTAGTCGAATATCTGCACTCCGGGCTCTCTTCACTGTAGCATCAGCCCTGTGTTTCAAGTTCCTCTCCTTCCCATGGCTGTGCAGACCTTTGTGGATCCACTGGGCCAGGCACCCTGACCTCTTGCTGGTCTCCCATGTGAAGCGGCTTTTCCTGGCCCTGGGCTGACATGCACAGGCAGTCCCTCACTGTAGCAGGGGACACTGCCTTCCTGATACAGTGATTCTTGCCTCTTTCGACCACAACTCCTTTCCCAGCAGCGTGGCCTCTTTGCTGTCTCTAGGCCTCCATGGTCTACTGGTCTAATGGTTCCCAGCCCCACTCAGGTGTGTGCAGGACTGTCAGATCCTTGGCATCTCCTCGCCATGCTAGAGGGGCAAGAGCCTGCCCTACTGTCTTGGGCATGCGCTCCCTCTCTGTTGGTGGCCCGTGTCGTGACGGCATGAGTACTGCGTAGGCTGTGGAATCCACATGGACGTGGCTCTTCCTCCGCCCATCCCCGATAGAGCAGGAGAGCATTATTTTCAGCTTTCCTCTGATCAGATGCAACCGACACCTATGCTGATGCTTCACGCTGGAGGGGAGAGGCTGGGGTACGTGTCTATCTTCTGGCTTCCACGCTTACAGCATGGAAGGGGAGATGATCTCATTTCTTCCTCTCCACTAGGTAGGCAACATCCTAATATCATAATCCACTCCCTGTGGTCGTGTAGAGCCCACACCCAAGGAATGATGTTTATATCACAGTGAGCAAGGCTTAAGGGTAGCCCTTTTAAGACAGCAGTGACTGTCTGAGTGCTGAGAATAAGTTAACTTTCTCCCCACCAGGCTTATGGATGGTCATGGAAGAGAAAGCAGAAAGAATGAAAGAGGCAGGGGATGGGAGGAACATTGGGCAATGCTGTCCTCTGTTGTCCTCACAAACTCACCGCGGTCTGTGGTCACCTACACAAGATCAGTGTTCCAACAGGCAGGTGCTAACTGGACTCAGTAGGCTGCAAAAGAGAAGACACGAAGTGAATAAGGAAATGTGTTGAGAATGCCTAGGGATATGGGGAAGTGGGGTACGGGACGTGAATATGATCAAGACACATTGCTGAAATTGTCAAAGAACAGGCAAAATATATCCCATTAAAAGGGGATTTATTGATGCCATCATTACTTTCTTCTTTCACAGACTATGTTTGATAGATAATGAAATCACTACTAGTAGATGTTTCCAAGCTTCTACAGACATCCTGGGCACCCGCTGTTTAGACAACCTTCTTCTTAAGTTTGACTTCTTATGTGGTGAAAGAAACATGAAAATTTGTCATAAAAAATTGTCAAGAATGCACAACTTGAGCTCAATGATTAAGAGCACTGGGTGCTCTTCTAGAGGACCCAGGTTTGATTCTCAGTATCCAGGTGGCAGCTCACAACTGTCTTGTAACTCTGGTTTTAGGGGATCTGATGCCCTCTTCTGTTCTCTGTGGTCAGCAGGTGTTGTAATTGGAGCGGCGGGGCTGCGTCCCTAGCACCCCAGCCGCCTTCTAGCTTATGCCCGAAATAACAACACACAAACTGTATTCATTTAAAGACTGCTTGGCCCATTAACTCTAGCCCTTACAGGCTAATTCTCATATCTGGACTAGCCCATTTCTAATAATGTGTGTAAGCACCCCAAGGAGCGCTTACCAGGAAGATTCTAGCCTCCGTCCATCCTGGGTTGGAGCTGCCTGGGAGAGCGGAGCCTGGCATCTCTGCTCCAGAGAGCAGAGCTGTCAAGTCTGTCTGAGGAGTCTTACCTCACTTCCTCTTCCTCCTGTTTACTCCTCCCACCTATGTTTTAACCTATCAGGGCAAGCAGTTTCTTTATTTAATTAACCAATGAAATCAACAGATTGATATATGACACTCCCACATCAAGCAGGCCCAGACATATATGCAGGCAAACCCTCATATACATAAGATTAAATGTAGAACTTTTTCTTAAACGCAGAACTTCATTCTCACACACATTCTTGGAGACTAAATATGGAAAACAAGCAAATAACCTCAGAATTCTTCCTACAAGTTGTGTGTGTGTGTGTGTGTGTGTTGCTAAAGATGGAAGATGTCTCATGCATGCAAGGCTAAGCTCCAGTCCCAGCTCTGTGGGAGCCCATTCCCGGTTATGCATGGTGAGCTGCACATGGCTGCTGCAGCTGGGACTAGCCACAAGGAAGCTGCTCTTTGGGTGAAAGGTAGGAGGATGGTGGAATTAAGTAGGGTTCATGGGGATGGGAAGAGGCTGTCTGGCAGGAGATGCATGTTTGCTATGACGTGGCACTCCTCAGAGGAGATCCGCAGGAGATAGTTACAGTGAGTACTGTAGTTTGTTCCTGAGTTGGAACCTTGGTTCCAGTGTAGGAAGGTTGAGAGGTGGTCTAAAGGTCTTTGTGGGTTCTTCCTTCAGGAGGGATTAAAGTGGTTCTCCTGACCCTAAGTTAGTTCTTCTGAGAAGATTATGTTAGCTAGTTTTATGTCAACTTGATAAAAGCTAGAGTCATCGCAGACCAGGAATCCCTAGTTGAGAAACTGCCTGTATAAAAATCAGGCTGTGGACAAGCAGGCAGGGCATTTTCTTCATCATTAATTGATGTGGGAGGCCCCAGACTGTGTTGGGCGACCTTACCCCTGGGATAGTGGTCCTGGCTTCTATAAGAAAGCAGGTTGAGCAAGCCAGTAAGCATCACCCTCCCCGCCCCCCATGGCCTCTGCATCAGCTCCTGCCTTCAGGTTTCTGTCTGGTTTGAGTCCCTGCCTTGGCTCCCCTCAGTGGACTCTGACTCGGGATATGGAAGCCAAATAAGCCCTTCCCTCCTCAAGTTGCCTTTGGTCATGTCGTTTCTGATAACTGCAGTGCTAACCCTACCCAAGACAGACAGCAAGCATAGTTCTTCTCCATGCGTTGGCTTCTTCTGTCAACATGTGATCTTCTTGCTTGTGTTTTCCTCATCGTTGAGACCTCTCATCCATGCCAAGAAGCCTACATTAGAGCCAAATTGATGCTGGTGCCATTCCCTTAACCCTCTGGAGCCATGAGCTAAATAAACCTCATGTCTCTGTGAAGCCCATACCTTCCGTGGTTTTGTTATAGTATTAGAAAAAGCAGCTAACATAGTTAATAAAGTCATAAGGAGAAATCTGGTGCTAGAGAATCCTGGGGGAAAATTATAAGAAAGTTGGGTTTATAAACTCCTGGCGTAGACAGACTATACGGCAAAGAATAGAGCCCGGAATACTATTTGAGTGTAGGTTTTGAACCCTGACTTATCCCGGCCACATAACTTCTCTAAGGCTCAGTTCTGCCACCTGTGCGGTGCTGATCACAATGGCTCTTACCTCAGTAGCTGGTTGCACTTGAGGAAATAATGCCTGTTTATGGACTTGCAGCCACACACAGCATGATGGCAAGCTGGGAACACCTGCTGTGGAGTGCTGCCTGAGTTTTAAGTTGTTAGCACATACATTTTGTCCTTAGTTTGGCTATAGAAGAAGAATCTAAGAAAGACTTCCCCCTCCCGCCCTTGCAAAAGAATGAATCAAGACAAGAAGTTGGACAAGAGCAGTGTTCAAGCAAGAACCCCTGGAGGGTCATCCGTGAAATTAGGCAATCAAGGAAGAATGAGCGAGAATGACACCAATGGTAAGAAGGAAAGGAAGAGGGTTGCCTTAGGGGGTCTATGGTTTGGGGAGCAGGAGGCTGGGTTAAACCGAGAAAGGAAAGTAGACGGTAAAGCAAGGAATGCACAGAAGAGACCCACGTAACCCCCACGGATGCCTGGCTCTCTGGTGAATGAAGTTACTCAGATTTACATATTAGTCATCAGGTTCATTCTTATCTCTAAGAATAAGTCTCCCTTGGTATAGATAGTCATTCTTTTCTTTCTTCTACTGCATTTCTATTTTATTTATTTTTTTTTTAGAAAATCCCTTACAGGTTCTATCCCAAAATGAGACTCTTCTGGTCCCACGGTTCTTGGACACAGCCCGGGCCAGAGAGAAGGCCATTGTTCCCAAGGTCAGCAACACACCCCTTGTGTTCACAGAGGAGTCTGAGATCTCACAGCAGGTTAGTGACACCCCCAAGTTCTCAGAAAGTACCATCCATCCTACACGTGGAGTTAGCCCCAAGCCCTCAGCAAAAACTACCCATCTGAAAGAGGGCAACACCTCGAAGCCCTCAGCCAAAGCTAATAATCCAAAACAGAAAGATGTTTCTCAGACTTCAGGCCACTCCATGCAGACCAAGCAGAGCAACATGACCAAATCCTTCGCAAAAACCACCCAGCCTAAACAGGGGACCACCCTCAAGCCTGAAGCAAGCAGCAGCCATCACAAAGAGGCCAGCATGCCCAAGTCATCAGAGGACAATATCCAATCCAAGGAGGGTAACATCCCCAAGTCCTCACAGGACACAATCTTGTCCAAAGATGTTAAAATCCACAAGCCCTTAAAAGACAACATCTCACCCAAGGAGAGAGACATCCCCAAATCCTCACAGGACACCATCCTCTTCAAGGAGACAGACATCCCCAAATCCTCACAGGACACCATCCTCTTCAAGGAGAGAGACATCCCCAAATCCTCACAGGACACCATCCTGTTCAAGGAGACAGACATCCCCAAATCCTCACAGGACACCATCATATCCAAAGATGTTAAAATCCACAAGCCCTTAAAAGACAGCATCTCACCCAAGGAGAGAGACATCCCCAAATCCTCACAGGACAAAATCCTGTTCAAGGAGACAGACATCCCCAAATCCTCACAGGACAAAATCCTGTTCAAGGAGAGAGACATCCCCAAATCCTCACAGGACACTATCCTATCCAAAGATGTTAAAATCCACAAGCCTTTAAAAGACAGCATCTCACCCAAGGAGAGAGACATCCCCCAATCCTCACAGGACAAAATCCTGTTCAAAGCGAGTGACATCCTCAGGTCCTCACAGGACAGCATCCAGTTCAAGGAGGGAGAAATCACCAAGTCCCCAGAAGACACCATCACATTCCAGGAAGACTACATTATCAAGTCCTTAGAAGACACAAGGCTACCTGACCAAAGCAACATCTCATATTTGGAAACGAAAATAGAGCTTCCGGAGGAAGACATGGTGAGAATGATCATTGGCAAGGAGGAGTTTGAGGAGGTGCTTAAAGAGGCTGGGGAGAAGCTGGTGGCAGTGGACTTCTCAGCTTCTTGGTGTGGGCCTTGCAGAGCCATCAGGCCGTATTTCCATTTCCTGTCTTTGAAACATGAGGATGTGGTGTTCCTGGAAGTAGATGCCGATGACTGCGTAGAACTGGTACAAGACCGTGATGTCTTCACCTTCCCAACTTTCCAGTTTTACAAAAAAGAAGAAAAGGTGGCTGAATTTTCTGGCGCCCTCAGGGAAAAACTGGATGCAAACATTGAAGAATTAAAGTAATCAGATATCCTGAGCGCATCACAAATGAGTTAATAGCTGATTTCTTTTTAACTTGCAAAGAACGATCACTTAAGACAAATGTGTTCTCCCAAAAGGCTCTGCTTGAATGTCAGAAACATGGAGGTCACCTTTTTGATTGAAAAGAATCAAAGCAAGGAGTGGCCATGGTGGTTTTTTTTTTTTTTTTTTGTAAAAAGGGTGAAATTAGGGATTCCTTGGGTGGAATCAGAAAGTCCTGCTATCTTACTTTGCACTCTTTTTTTTTTTTTAGATTCATATTTAAAAGTTTTGCTCCTTGGGTATTTGCTGCAACCCTGGAAGTGCAATAGAATTACACACCTGAAGTGCAGTGGAAAGTTCTTGTCCCATGTATTTTCTGGTGCTCACATGTCTTTGTGGATTTTGATAAGAAACTTCTGGAAACACAGGGTTGGAGTGAGTCACGTTTTTGCTATTCTTTTGTATTAGGAAGGCTATAGAGATCCACACACCAAGGCTGTTTCCGGTTTGTAGAGATCATTTTCCTAATCTTTGTTCACAAAATCCAAGAACTCTAAACCAGGCTCCTGAGAGGCTTAAGCCTGAGCAATCACTGATGCCATTATGACTTCACTGCTTTGATGGAAAAGGACTTGCATTGTCTTCTGGTAACTGGGTTCCTGATTCCTGTTTTTAGGTGTCTCAAAGACCAAAGACCCAGGTCTGGACTGGGTGGTAACTTGGTTCAGAGCTCTTGTTATCTTTTAAGCAGTCTGTGAAGGTTTAGTTGATATACAGAGCTGGCCCTACCTAACTAGACTAGATGGGTTTGGCCAGCTCCACTCATGTGTGACGCCCATAACATTCCAGAAGTTACTTTGTGTCCCTTTGCTCTAATTATGGTTGTTGCTTATGTTATTGTTGTAACAAGAACCCTTGCCAGGAGGTCTACCCTCAGGGAATTCTAAGTGGCCAATGCTGTATTCCTAGCTTGCGGTGCTGGATTGTATAGCAGAGTTCTAGAACTTACGCTCATATAAACGAGTCTTTGCACTGTTGAACAACTCCTATTTCCTCCTGTGCCACTCCGGCAACCACCATCCTGTTTTCTTTTGATTCAAAGTATTTCTAAAATATTAGCAAACATTTTTTTTAAAAAAATTTAAAATTTTTAAAAAAAATCATTCCTTTTTAAAAACGCCACAATCCAAAGGAGTGAGACCAGTTTTAGGGGCTGACTGTAGATCTCCTCATAGTGGAAGGACATGCACCTGCTGCCCTTGTCCCAGACCCTTGTGTTGCAAGCTCCCTGGTAAGTCAGAGTAGGGCGGCCCCTACCACCTCCCACTGGGCACCATCGACCCTCCTTAGAGACACCTGTCACATGCTCCTTTGCAACAGTGGCAGCCATGTGACAGCAGCAAAGAAAATTCCCTATACACTCGGCCTTCTTTCCCAAAGTGATTCGGAATGACCTACAAAAAGTATTAGTGGTGAGATGCAGACCAGGGAAGAGGAGGTAGAACCACGAAGGGAATTCTGTGTCAGCTCTGAGGGTACAGATAATGGCTCTGGTTGAGCAGCAAGTTTTGTCCTAAGAGTGTCTTCAGCAGTGGGAGAGAAAGGGGAAAGTCAATCCCCAGATGCCATTAAACAGGCAACAAATAAACAGGCTTTGTGTGGTGTGGCAGTAAAAAGCCTGCAAAGTTGCTGTGTTATCACAGACAATACCTTAAAAATACCCTTGACAAACAAGTGTGACCATAGGCTGCACAGGTGGTCTAAGAATATCTTTATGGAAATCAAGATAAGAAGGCGAATTCTATAGGGCCAGGACGCTGCAAAGTGTGGTGTGGTTCCCTAATGGTCTGATGATCTGGTTTGAACCAAGAATAAAAGCTGTGCTTCTGATTGATGCCTGTCAGATTTCCCACATTCAGTGCCATCCTTGACAATCAAATAGCAGCCTATCAAAGTCACGTGCTTTTCCAGAGAGCCACAATCTGTGCTTGCTGGGAAACAACGAGGCATGAACCTAAATCAAACAAGTGAAGAAATAGTTTTTAACCTCTAATGGAGGCATTTATGATGAGGCTTCCACATAATCATATTGGCTATACATGGTAATAACCTAACTATACAGCCTTGTAAGATAATGGAAGGTTAGTCTCGGCAACACACACCTTTAATCCCACTCAGAGGAAGAGGCAGGTGGACCTGTGAATTTGAGGCTAGCCTGGCCTACATAGTGAGTTCCAGGCTACCCAGGACTACATAGTGAGACTGTGTTTCAAAAAATGCAATAAAATACAAAGAAAGGAAAGGAGGGAGGGAGGGAGGAAGGAAGGAAGGAGGGAAGGAGGGAAGGAGGGAGGGAGGGAAGGAGGGAAGGAAGGAAGGAGAAGGCGTTCCTGTTAGGATCAATAAGTAAATTCCACAAAGTGGCACTGCTTAGAATAGTATTCCCGAATCAATAGCTTCATGTGATTTAATAATTAAAAATCCATATGGAAATGGGCATCATTCACAATAGTAACAGTTTAGAATGGCAATCTTTGAAAGGTATTTAATAAATAGGTTTGAGTAAAGTGACATTGTTTTTCTCATTAGAGAGGCACAATAGACAATGTGACTTTAACTGATGACTCAATGGTTTGTTTTGGAGAATGTAACAAATTACTTTAAAATTCCCTGGGTGGAATGGACATAGGAGAGTCTTAAATGCAATGTCAGAAGGAAGACTTACCCTGTTAGGTAGCTAAATATATAATTGATATAGCAATTACAAGACAATGGCATGAATGGTGGGGAAAAATAACAATGAAAGAGAACAACCAATAGATCCTGGCATGCAGTAACCTAGAAAATGAAGCATGTCTACTTAATAGACTGTTGAGTGGATTACGCCCCCCCCCAGAATATTGTAGAGTAAAAGTTTATTATTTGAAGGGGAAAATTAGTTTATATTCCACTAGCATACCATCAAAATATAGGTCAGATTAAGGAATATGACTAAATTATGGAATCAAAAACGGGAGAAATCCCTGTGAACCATCTGACTTGTGGGGGGCACAAGTGGCTTTTTAACCACGGAGGTCAGAAAAGAAATGAATTTGAACATACACAAACCTAAATCCTCCATGATAAAATAACAAAACATTAACTGAAAGCAAAAACTCATGAGGAGCATTTGCCAAAATGAGCAGACAACTCCTACAAACTAGATGGATGGTCTCTTCGACAAGCAAGCAAAGGGTACTCCGCCAGTCCCAGCGAATGCAAGGACAAGTTCTAACACATGTGAGAATTTTCCATTAGCAGGGAACGCGCCGCGTTCTATAAACAAGATGTTGAAAGTTGGGAATCAACTCGTGCTGCTAGAGTCGCGGTCGCGACAAGCCTTCTGATCACAGATACAGTGAAACTCAGATAAGGTCGCAAACTTTGGCTCATCTGTCTGCCTAGACTAGTGGGTGGCCTGGAGCGCCAGATACTAGTTCCTCACAATTTTAGAGCCTAGAAGTCTGCCATCAAAGTGTCCGAAGACTCCGTTTCTGAAGTGACCTCCTCTCCTGTCTTTGTGTCACATGGTCATCCCCTTTGCAACCATGCACTGCTGGTCGCCTTAGGTGTAGCAACTGTAGCAACTCCGCTCAGTTGAGGACCGAGATTGGGATCCACCCCAACAGTCTCGGTTGATCTTAATTGCCTCTTTAAAGATCCTGTGCCACTGAAGCCATATCCTGACACACAGGAAGTAAAGACTTCAACAGATAAATTTGGGGAAAACACAATTCAACCAATAACTGTATTAGATGGGGCTCAGGTTGGGCCTAAAGATTCCGCTGGGATGCATGTCTTAGAAATGTAAGGTGTAATTGGATTATTTGGTATTTTGCTGTCTAGTTTCTTGGGTTCTTTATATAGCTTGGAGATCAGTCCTTTGTCAGATGTGGAGCTGGTGAAGATCTTTTCCCATTCTGTAGGCTGCTGTTTTGTCTTATTTACCATGCCCTTTGCCTTACAGAAACTTCTCAGTTTCAGGAGGTCCCATTTATTGATTGTTGTTCTGTACTATTGGTGTTATATTTAGGAAGTGGTCTCCTGTGCCAGTGCATTCAAGGCTACCTCCCACTGTCTCTTCTATCGGGTTCATTGTAATCGGATTCACGTTGAGTCTTTGATCCACTTGGACTAGAGTTTTGTGCGTGGGGATAGATCTGGGTCTATTTGTATTCTTCTACACGTCAACATCCAGTTATGCCAGAACCATTTGTTGAAGAGTCTGTTTTTTTTCCAGTGTACAATTTTTACTTTTTTTTTTTTTTTTGTCCAAAATCAGGTGCTCCTAGGAGTGTGGATCAATGTCAGGGACTTCAACTTGATTCCATTGATCCTCGTGTCTGTTTTTATGCCAATACCAAGCTGGTTTTGTTACTACAGCCCTATAGTAGAGCTTGAAGTCAGGAATGCTGATGCCTCCAGAGGTTCCTTTATTGTGCAGGATTGCTTTAGCTATCCTGGGTTTTTCATTTTTTCCATATGAAGTTGAGTACAGAGACAGTGGACCTGAGCTAGTGAGAGCTCACTGACTTTGGACTGACAGCTGGGGAACCTGCATAGGGCCAAACGAGGCCCTCTGAATGTGGGTGACAGTTGTGTGACTTGGGTAGTTTGTGGGGCCACTGGCAATGGGAATAAAATTTATCCCTAGTGCATGAACTGACTTTTTGAAGCCCATTCCCTAAGAAGGGATACCTTGCTCAGTCTAGATATGGGACAGGGTGCGGGGACGGGGGGGGAGGGGGGGCTTGGTCCTGCCTCAAATGATGGGACAGACTTTGTTGATTCTTCATGGGAAACCTTACCCTTTCTGAGGAGTGGAGGGGGCAGTAGGTGGGGAGAAGCTGGGGGGAACGGGAGGAGGGGAGGGAGGGGAAACTGTGGTTGATATGTAAAATGATAAAAAAACTTTTATATAAAAAAATCTTTAAAAACAAATGTAAGAAAAAAACAAAACA